GAACCCACCAGCAATGCCAGGTCTTCAAAGTCCCCACCAGCTGCAGCTATAAGGTCTCCTATGCCAAACACGGGGCAGTAGGGGTTGGAGAGTGCATCATAGCGACAGTGCTTAAAATAGGCGGAGTCCCAGGTATCTAAGGCATTGGTCCTGCAAGGAGTAGAGAAAGGGATCAGATGATCCAGGGGGTCATGGAGGACCTGGGGTTAACCAGCACCAGCCCATACATACTTGGAAAAGTTGAATTTGCTGAAGGTGACAGTGTTTTTGATGAACAGCGTGAAGTTCTTGGCATGGATCAGCAGGGGCCTCCTATAAGTAAAGGGGACAATGTTAGAATTTTGCCTGTGCTGTTGCCTTGCCCTGGGAGTCAGTAGGAGACTTACTTGGGCACAGTGCCACTCTCCACTGGGCACCAGCTCTGGATTTCACAAGTCCTGTGGGTCCCGTTGAATACCACACATTGACCTGTTTTTATGCCTTGAAAACAAAAGATGTACTCTAGGTCCTCAAATCTCCACAGGGCATGAGGAGGATGTGGAACAGATTTGTTGATAGAACCACACCCAGAGTCCCCTCCCACCCCCTGCCCTGGTAGAGATTCTGAAAGACAGAGCTTATAGTTACCATGGCTGTGTGTCCCTGTCTCCCCTTTAGGACAGTCCTCATTGACCCAGCAGTTAGCCAGCGGGATAGAGGGGTGCTGAGGTAGACAAGAGACTCCAGTCACCAAAAGCCCAAGGGGGTGCCTTCCCTTAGCCCTATAGACTGCAAGGAGATGCTTCTCCCCATGTTAGCCTCCTGTGATACCCTGGCTTTGGAAGTACACGGCACACATGGCTGGTGACCCAGGACTGGTAGAGGAAGTAGGGACCCACTCTCCCAGGCAATCTTACCTCTGGGCATTTGCCCTGAACTTGAGCTGGCGTCACAAGGAAATTGGTGACCAAGAAGAACACGTTCTCTCCCTAGGAGGCAAATCTCAAGGTTGGTCCCTACTTGGTTCCCTCACCTGTGGAGGCCAGAAGCTGACAGCCTGGTTTTGTTTGTTTGGGTGGTGCTGGGAATGGAACCCAGGGTTTGCACATGAACACTCTATTGCTGAGCTACATCCTTAGGCCTAGGAGTCTAGTTTTTGAGGGAATAGTCTTGGCCCCATCTAGTAACCATCACTGTCCCTCAGGAAAATGTCTCCAGTGAGGCAGGTGCAAACAGGAAGTTGGCTGTGTTTCTGACCATTTCTGAACCTAGGGATCCTCATGTCCATGTTTATCTTTTAGTTACCAGTTTATTTCTCACATTTATTCTCATTCACTCAACTTGAATTTTCCAAGAGTCTCCTGCTTCTAGGCACTAAAAACAAAGACTTGAAGAGAGGTGGACCCCTTATCACATGCACATCAGAGCTGGCAATGGCAGGGGATTGGAAGAGCAGATGGTAAGCTTGACCTGGGGTCAGAGTGGCCAAGGACATGCAGAGGTGCTGCTCCTGAGAGCATGGTGCACTTAGGAAAGGAAGATAAGGGCTAGGCAGAGGGCATTGGGGCATGGCAACAGTTAGGATATGGAGGGTCTTGGTGGTCACCATCATGGGAGAGGACCCTTCCCTGGGCAGAGAGCAGTGGTTGAGGTTCTGATGATGTTAAGCGTAAAAGTTCATCCTGGCTATTGCTTATGTGCACCTGGTGGCAGGGAATAGGGGAGAGAATCAAAGGGCCCACTCAGAGACCAGGCATGGTAGATGTTGCAGTGAAAAATAATGGGAGGGACAGGAAAGCATCTGGCTTTAGTACTGGTGGGTGTCACTGCTCTCGTTGGATGAATAGAAGTGAGAATGCCAGGAGAGGTAGATGATTTATCTTTGGACATGGTGGGTGAATCTGGAATCAGCTTCTATCCAGGCAGGTGGTCACTGGGGCTATAATTTGAGCATCAGTGGAAGAGAGGTGGACATTGGGGATATAGACCAGCTGGGTAGAGGGATTAGGGACAGAAAGCCCAAGAGGGTAGAGGAGGAACACATGACAATGATGCCTCAGGTGAGGAAGCTCAGCCTTTGGACCTTTATAAAGGAAGTTACTTTGGCTTGGCTTCCCTTCTTGTTCACCAGGAAACCTCCTACACAATTCCTGAAGGCCCCATCTAGGCAACACTCCTCTACATGCTCCTTCCCAAACCAGATGCACTCTGATATCACATGCCTCTCTTGTGCATGATTTGTATTAGAGCTGTCAGTAGGGGAAGGACTCATGCCACCTGAAGCAGCACTAGGGACCCACCTGTGGTGGTTTCACGAAGTCAGCCACATCCCACAACCGGTTCCCGAGCTCCTTGATCTGAGTCACAGAAACTCCTTTGAGTTTGGTGATGACAGAAATCTGGGGGTCCAGGTCCCGTTCTTGGTAGCCTTTTTTTGCAAGGAGGGCCCATCTGGGGAGGAAATGATGGACAGTATGGTATGACTCTAGCAAAAGTGAACAGTGGAGGAACTGGATCCTATAAGCTCAACTCCCTTCCCATACTCCATAGGCTCCTAGCCCAGCATCAAAGCCTTCTGACTCCTCTCCAGCATCAACTGTCACCACAGATACCCTGAACAGACCAAAGCCTTGGACAATCACTGGAGAGTCAGCATCTACCACAGTGATTATTTTTAATATTTATTTTTTTTAGAGTTGGACATAATACCTTTATTGTACTTATTTATTTTTATGTGGTGCTGAGGATGGAACCCAGGGCCTCACACTCGCTAGGCGATCGCTCTATTACTGAGCCATAACCCCAGCCCCCACAGTGACTTTCATAGACAATATCCTTACTCCTACCCCAGCTAGGCATAGCTCCCTCCTTAAAGACTCCTCTGACCTCCCAGCTAGAACTGGTGGTCTCTCTAGGGGGCCTCAGTGCTCCAGCTCTCATGAATCTAAAGGACTACTGCCTTCTGCCTCACCGGGGTTCCTCCCAGGCAGGAATGGGACTGATCTTCCTGTGTCCAGAGCCCAATATGAGACTAGGAATAAGGCCCTGGAAAGAAGGCAGGAGGGCAGGCAGGAACACAAACAGAGATTATTCTGAAAGCCTTGGAATGGACAAAGATCCCTCATTCTGTTTACTTCCAACCCTGTCCCAATCTGCTACCCCCCCACCACCAGCCTGGTCCCTAAAGAGTCAAATTCTCAACCCTCAGCCCAATAGGACCAGCCATGATCCCTTTAGCCAACCTGACTAAAAACTATTTTCTCTTACCCCACCACGTAGGCCACAATCCCGAGCTGCAGCAGCCTCTGTAAGGCGCCCACCCGCCAGTTCCTGGTCATCACATACTTCTCTGTCTTGTAATCCAGAAGCCCCCAGCCTGCTGAGGCCCCTGAGGAGCACATGCCCCCAGTTTCTGCTGGCTACTGGTGCAATGAGTCAGCACAGCAGCTGCAGCCACAGCTGATCGGTAGGCAAAGAGTGCATCCAAATGGGCCAGGCCAGCTGTTGTTAAAGGGACACCTCCATTTAGGGCAGGAACTAGCCTCCACCCCCCAGTTCTGGACTTGGTCCCAGGCCCAAGCTGTCCTGGGCCTCTCATACTCTCTAGAGTTCCTCTGCTGATCCCTAGGTACTCCAAAAGGAGCAGCTCTGCTCCTGCCCTCCTGCTATACTTCCTTATAGGGTGGGGAAGAACAGGTGGCATGGGGTCAGAAGGAGCTCAGAGGAGGAGCCAAGGCAAGCTTCATAAAGAAATCCCTCTGAAGGCTGGGGTTATGGCTCAGTGGCCTACCACTGAGGCCCTGGGTTCAATCCTCAGCACCACATGAAATAAATAAATAAAATAAAGGTATTGGGTCCAACTAACTACAACTAAAAAATAAATATTAAAAAAAAAGGAAAAGAAATCCCTCCGAGGGCTGGGTATGTGGCTCAGTGGTAGAGTGCTTGCCTAGCACACACGAGACACTGGGTTTGATACCCAGCATCACATAATAAATAAATTAATTAATTAAATAAAGCTATTGTGTCCATGTATAACAAAAAAAAATTTAAAAAGAAGAAATCCCTCTAAGCTGATATGTGCAGATTTTGAAACACTGCAAGAAAAGTTGGGTAAAGATGTAGGGTGGAGGGTCTGGGGTTGTGGCTAAGTGGGAGATCACTTGCCTAGCATGTGTGAGGCACTGGGTTCGATTCTCAGCGCCACATAGAAAGAAAGAAGGAAAAAAAAGAAAGATCTATCATCAACTAATAATAATTAAAAAAAAAAAGATGTAGGGTGGAGAGAACAGCATAGAAAAGGCCAAAGCATGAGAACTGAGAGCCACAGACTGAGAATGTGGTCTAGCTGCAGAGAGGAGGGTAACCGGGCTCTGCAGGTTCCCCATGCCCTCCCATACAGCTGTCTCCCAACCGCCAAATACAGTGACTAAAGCACAAGCTCTGGGGTCAGGTATGACTCCCTTTTGGTGAAAAAGGGAGATGCTAGAATTTCATCGGGTGGCAAGAATGAAGAACGCGCCTGGCCGGTGGCACATGCCTGTTATCCCAGCGGCTTGGGAGCCTGAGGAGAATCACGAGTTCAAAGCCAGTCTCAGCAACTTAGCGAGGCACTAACAACTCAGTGAGACCCTGTCTCTATAATACATATATACATACATATACACACATATACAGCCATATATATATATATGGCTGCGGATGTACCTCAGTGTTAGTGCCCCTGAGTTCAATCCCCTTTACCTAAATAAATAAATAATAAACAACGCCTTCAAGGTGCCCAGCCCTACGCTAGGCCAGTGGAGAGTACTTTTAGGGGCCCACTCAAGGTCTGCGCAGGCCAGTCGCAGTTTCTGCAGCAACCAAAACACCGGGTTGCCCGGGCAACAGGCTAGTGGCAGCGCGCCTGTATTAGCCGAGGGGAGAGTCTGTTGTCTGTATGCCACATTCGATTGGCCAGCGAGGGCGTAGGATCCGCCCACATTCCCAGTGCTGAGCTGCGCTATAGCCGAGAATCCGCTCACTTTCTAGGTGCGGCGCTAAACTGCCCCTGCCTCAGAGCAGACCTCTGCAAAATGGGTGTAACCATGAAGGGTCCTTGTGAGAGGCCTGGGGAAAATGAAGATCAGAGGGAAGAGGTGATAGCACCCGCTGGGTGTTTTGCAGGGGTCCCGGAGGCCGACAAGGATTCAGAAGCAGATTCAGACTCTGACCTGGAGACAGAAGGTGCTCTGAAGCAGGGACCTAGGCCTGACTTCTCACCTTGGGGGCTTCTTGGCAGGTGTGGAGGGAAGTGGGCTGAGACTGAGTGGGAGCTCATCGTTTTGTTGGGTGATTTCAGGGCAGCCAGTGGTCTTTCAGGCCATGCCCACCCTTCTGAGCGACATCAGGAGGTCCATCATTAAGAATATGCTTCCAGGGCTTGGGATGTAACTCAGTGGTCGAGTGCTTGCCTGGCATGCATAAGGCCTTGGGTTTTATCCCCAGCATTGCAGAAACAAAACAAAACAAGAACATGTTTTCAGAACAAAGAAATGCAAAATCCTGCCAACGGATCTGAAATATGAGGACAAAAGTCCCACCAGTACAGGAAGAAATGCCTCTAGAAGGGAAACAGCCAGGATAGTAATGGAGGGTAAGGAGGAAGGTGGGTGTGCTAGTGAAGAGCTCCACATTTACCTCCCTTGTTTCCTTCCAGGCATACATGGACTTAGAGAACCCATCAGGGATGCCCTCCACGTGGGGTCTTGCCGGGCCTATAGCATTGTGCCCACCATGTACTTTCTGAACCAAGGCTGTGCCCCAGAATTGAAGCTGAGGCACCGTGGTCTGGGACCCCAGGTACCTGTGGTGGGACTCTGGAGTCAGGGTTGGTTGGGGGGGGACCTAGGAGATAATAGCCATGGAATTCCTCTCATTGAGACCATCCCACACACTCCTCAGCTGTCCTTTTTGCCAGGTATATCCCATCCCCTATATCTGGGTAAAGATGGAGGATGGGACACATCAGCCATGAAGGTTGGGGAGCATACAGGCTCCTAACCTGCTGGAGGGTCAGGGAAGACTTCAGAGGGTGAGATCTGATTGGAGCTTAGAGGGAGAAGAAGGTGTCCCTTCAGAATGTGGGAAAGTGAAGGCTTTTGGGTTGGAGGGCACTGAGCAGGCTGAGCCCTGGAAACATGAGCCCAGAGATGGCTAGATGTGTTTGGTGCCCTCAGCCCTGAGAAGAACCTGACCTCTCAGGACTCTCTGCTCTGTTCCAGGGGGCATGGGCTCTGGCTTCCATGTTGACCTCCAATCCCTACATTAAACGGCTGGATCTTCAGGACAATGGGCTCTGTGCGGCTGGTGCAGAGGCCCTGGCCTATGTCCTGAGCAAAAACAGCAGCATCTGTGGTAGGTGCTGAGCCTGGGGCAGGTGGGCAGGCTTGAGTTCTTTCCTTTACTTTTCTCAGTGATGTGGAAAGTCAGGCCTCACTTGGGGTCCACTGGTGGCTAATGGGGGGGGGGGTTGCTTAACACAGGATGCAGCACATGAGGGTGGAGTTAAACCCTCTGAGGATCCAGCCTGTGGAGCAGTCAATGCTGGATGCCATTTCTTTCCTGACCAGGTCTACCCTACTCACTCCCCTCCTCCATTGACCAGCACACCCCCTCCACTATAGGGTAGACTCCCAGTGCCTGAATGCAGGGTAGAGGAGAGAGGCAGAGACCAGACTGTGCAAGAAGCAGGAGGGCAAGGTAGGAATTCTCTGAGGCTGGATCCATATGCCAGCTCTGCAGGCAGACTGGACAAGCAACTAAATCTTGTTGAGCCTATTTCCAGCCTGTGAAGCGGCCCCAACAATACCACTTAGCCATTGGGTTTTGGTGAGTATTAAATAAAACTGAGTATATAAAGTGGTCACCAGAGTATCTGGTCCATGAAAGAGCTCCTTTCCTGGCCACCTGGGCTAGTATCATCAGTCCCTGGCAATAGAACAGAGACCAGTTAACAATGTGGTAGCTATTCCTCTAACAACATTCTCCACAGTACCACAAGGTAGGTAGCTTTTAACCCTTTGGCAGAGAAGTTTATAATCAGGCGAGGAGGGAGAGGTCAGGGGCCCAAGGGGACCTAGCCAATGGGTGGCAGAGCTGAAACTCTAGGATAGTCCAACCTCAAAGTTTCTTCCTCTGCCTCAGGCATGGAGGTTTGGGATATGTAGGAATGTGGATAAGGGTGGTCTTCACTTCAGATCCCACTGACTGAAGAATGATGCTGGCCCCCAGATGTGGATCTGTCAGAGAACCAGATTGGAGTGGCAGGGGCCCAGGCTCTTTGTGCTGCCCTCAAAGTGAACCAGGCTGTGCAGAAGATACAACTGGCAGGAAATAGCCTGGAAGAGAAGGCAGCCCAGTACCTTGCTGAACTCTTGCTGGTCCATACAGGCCTGAAATCCCTGGATGTCAGCTATAACCAGCTGAATGACCAAGCAGGTAATCCCTGGTCTGGGCCACCATGGGACATTACAGCTCATCTTCCTTTGATGATAGGGGAAGGAGGTGGCAGAACCATAGTGAGCATTCATGTCTGGTTCTGCTCTCTCTATATACCTTGGCCCACTCCTTGTCCACTCTAGGTACACACAGCCTTTAACTCATTCCACAAATATCTCATTACCCACTGTTGTGTATACTTAGCACTGGTTTGGCCACTAGGGATCTAGAAGTAAACAAAACAAAGGCCCTGTCCTCAAGAAAAACATATTAACAAGATAATTATTAGTAATTATTGGTGCTCCAAAAGAAACAATCTAAAACAAGAAAAGAGTGGGGACTCCTTGCTTTAGAGGGATGGCCAGGGAGGCTTCTTTGAGTAGGTGATATTTAAACCTAAATGAGGTTTGCGAAGAGGTCATGGCAAAACCAGAGGGCAAGAATTTCAAACAAAGAAACAGTGAGTATACAGGCCTGTTTCTCAAACTGGTAGATAACCAATATGACTAGACTAGTGATCCAGGGGAGAGTGACTAGGCTATGGTATAAAGAGTCAATGGCTGCAAGTCATGGCTGAACATGTGAAAATTTTATTTGAGATACTGTGAAAAACATAAGTGGATTGCTTGATCTCTTTCTCTCATGCCCCAGGGCTTTTGCATGAGCAGTCTGTTTGCCAGGAATATACATTTCTGTGCCTGTTCCCAAAGGTTCCAACCAATTATAAGAATCACCTATAAGCAGGCTGGGGATGTAGCTTGGTGTGGTGGAAAATTTGCCTAGCATGCACAAGAGAATCACCTAGAAGCAGGGTGCAGTGGCACATGCTTGTAGTCCTGGATAATCATGAGGATTGCTTGAGCCCAGGAGTTTGGGGACAGCCTGAGCAACATAGTAATACCCTCATCTCAAAAGAAAGGAAAATAAAAAGAATAACCTGGGATCCTGGACCTCTTGAATCATATTTTGAAAGGAATGCACATGTATTTCTACTTTAATAAATTACCCAGGAGAAAATTGACTGATCTGGAAAGTTTTGGAATTGATAATCTGTCTCAAGCACCAGTGTTGGCCTGTGAGAATCAGCCCTGGAGTTACTGACACTCAGTTTGCCTTCTAAGAAAATTTTACTGTGGGAAGTCAGTGAAATTAAAGGAGAAGTTTATTTCAGATTTTGACAAAATATAGGTGTCTTTCCAGACCGTCACAATTAGATGGAACTGGTTAGTTATATATTAGTATTTTTGTTACTATAACAAATACCTGAGATAATTAATTTATAAAGAGAAAAGATATATTTTGGCTTAGTTTTAGAGGTTTCAGTTCATGATGAATTGGCCCATTAGTTTGGACCTCTGATGAGGCAGCACATCATGGTAGGGGCATATGGCAAAGCAAAACTACTCAACTTATGGCCAGAAAGCAAAAAGGCTAAGAGGAAGAGGCCTAGGTCTCAAAATTCCCTTCAAGAACATACACTCCAATGACCTAAGACATCCCACTAGGCCCCACCCCTTAAAGGCTCTGTCACTTTCCAGTAGTGCCACTGTGGGGATCAAGCCTTTAAAATATGAACCTTTGGGAGCCACTTAAGATACAAACTATAGCAGAGGTCAAGCACCAGAGAGGCAGCTGGAAGGGAGGGGCTAGAAGCTAAGGAAATACAAATAAGTACACAAGGAAGGTAGAATGGGGCCTGGGAAAGGAAGGGCCATTTTGTTTCTCCAAATAGGGACCTGAAGGTATGGCTGATTTCCTTGAGTGGTGAAGGAGTTTCGGTCTTAGTCTCCTCACCTGATCCATGGTGATGGCACCACCTACCTCAGGATGGCTGTGTAGATGATGGAGACCAAGCATTAGCTATTACAGATGTATAAAAGAAGAACCCTCTCACTGACCGGTAATTCAGCAAAGAAGGGATTACTATCAAGTGGATGACCACCACCCTCCCCTCTCAGCTCTGGAAGTGTCTGGGGAAGGAAGAAGCATCCATATCTATGAACCTGAAGGTATCAAAACTGGAGTTGGGTGCTGAGTCTGGCTCTTGGAGCAGCAGTGCTTTGGCACAGGGAGCTCTCCAAGGTGCTAAAAGTGTCTGCCACTGTAAGTGCTAGCAGAGAAAGCTGGCTGAGTGCTCTTATTGATTCATTCATTTTTTCCTCTCTGCACTTGTTCAAACCAGCCTTACAAGACATGTACTAGGCTCTGGGCTCATGGGTAGGAGTCAAATTCTTATCTTCAAGGGACTCCTAGTCTGGTGACAGAGACCAGTCAGACAGAAAGAGATCTAGTGGCTAGAGCCTGGAAGGATGGAAGGATTTCTGGTGTTCCAGGGATCCAGAAAGGCCCAAACCAGTCTGACCAGGCAGTACAGACTTCTCTAGTCTATGAAAAACCAGATTAGAAATATTAGAGCTGTTATAAAAGTAAGGAAGGGGATTCCAAAATAGGGGACGGCCAAGAGACATGTCAGAGCTGGTGCTCTGGAGAACTGGGAGCAGGTCAGACTGGCCAAGTACTACAGATAGAAAGCATTCTATAGGTTTGGGTTCTTCTCGTTCTACATACTAAATATCCCTTTTGAGTTTCTCCATACACAGTCACTTCCTTTCAATATCTCCCTGGGCCTCCTCTCCATCACGGCTGTGCTAGCAGTCACCTCTTACCTATAGCAAGCACCGTTCAATGGGTCACCTGACCACTCACTGTCTTTGCTGATGTTTATCATCAGACACTAGGAATCTTGCTGAAATGCTATTTAGCCTTCCCTGATTCCTTGGCTACTATAGGGAAGAGCCTGAGCCCTGTCTTTGACATAGAATTACAGGCTTCTGAGCCTCTCTCAAATACCACCTACTATCTACCACATTGCACCTGCTTCCTTAACCAGTTCCATGCCCGAGTGTGTTTCTCAAATGTCTTTGCACTTCTGTTCTTTCCTGTGTCTACTGTACATTATGCTTGAATACATGAGTGGTGGATATTCGATTCAGAGTTATAATCACTTTTGTGACCCCATCAAGGCCACCACTCTCTTCCTATTCCTCCCTGTTTTAGTTTATATTAGCTTGCATCCCATTAATTTGTATTTATACCTCCCCTATTAAATGTGGATTCTGTGAGGGCAGGGCAAGCCTATGTTGACCTCACCTCTTAGATCCTCCTGCCCAGTAGAGATTCAGGCAACAGTATCATTTTTTAAAAAGGAATGAGCAGAGTTAATAACAAGATCTATCTTGGTGTTCCAAAGGAGAGACACTTGGACCAGCCTTGGCAGAAAACACAGGACTAACAGAGCTTAACATAAGCTGGAATCACCTCCGGGGTCCAGGAGCCATAGTGTTTGCCAGGGGACTAGAGGTATGAGACCCCCATCCAGTCAGTTCCTGGGGCCTCTCCTTTGCAGATCATCAGATATGAACCTTAGATCTTTTTTCTTATTCTTTATTTTTAGGGGGTGTGGGGAACCCAGGGCTTTGCACATCCTCAGTGCAAAATTAAAACTTTAAAGAGAACTTAAAGTGTGTTTGTTTTAGGTAACTTTTATTTTCCTCACCCCATCTGATGACTACAGTACACTGGGCCCACTATCTGGTCATTTACTGAAGGGTCCAGAGCTGAATGTCTTGTACCTTCTCCAGGTACAAACTCTTGGCTAGTAGGGAACATCTGTCAAGTCTTGTAGACAGATACAATACCTTTACATAATTTGTTTATTTTTATTTTTTAATGTTTAGTTGTAGATGTTCACAATACCTTTGTTTTATTTAATTATGTGGTATGGAGGATCGAACCCAGTGCCCCATGCATGTGAGGCAAGTGCTCTACCACTGAACCACAACCCCAGCCATAATTTGTTTCTTTTTATATGGTGCTGAGGATAAAATCCAATGGCTCATGTGTGCTAGGCAAGTACTCAGTGACTGAGCTAAAACCCTAGCCCCACATGTTTACTATTAACATAAATAGATGTTTTCCTGAAAGACACCATTGCAACCCTGAATGCCAGCACACTGACTCAAACGTCTCACTTGCTCCCCTATATATTGAGGTTCATACAACTTGAGAGTCGAGCCTCAAGCAATGCTAGAGTGGCCCAAGGCATATTTGATGTTCCTGTAACAACTACTTTTATGGAGGACCTCTAAGGCAAGGTGGTAGGTCAGGGTTTTTCTTCTCAGAGCACCAAAACATCTCTTCCCGTCAGATACTTGGGCAGATTTTATCCCGCAAAACTTTGCTGGAACCTGAGGTCCTTGGGGCTGCTTTATGTCTCAGGGTCCCTGATATTAAGAAAATCCAACATGGCAAGGTGTAGTGGTATACACCTGCAATTTCAGAGGCTCAGGACACTGCAGCAAGAGGATGCCAAGCTCAAAACCACCCTCAGCACCTTAAAGAGAGGCACTAAGAAACTTAGCAAGACCCTGTCTCAAAATAAAAAATAAAAAGGGCTGGGGATGGGGCTCATTGGTAAAGTGACCCTGGGCAAAGTCTCTAACAACAACAACAAAAACCCCTCCCACATGCATGGAAATCAGATTACTGTGTCTTGGGACCCACTACTGCCTAGTCTCTGGGGGTCCAGAGACCATGGACCTGAATTCCAGCCTCCTCTGTTGTGCATGGGACTGTTCAGCTCCATTAGCATCACCTCCAAACTATAGCTAATTAGGGGAAGTACAGCACTTTACCTCATCTCTGCTGTTTTTCATTTGTCCCTATCATGAACCTCAAGCCTCTTGGCCCCCATGCTTTCTGCACCATGAGATGTGGGTCCCAGCTTCACTCTTTATGTTCTAGGCAAATATCTTCCTGAAAGTCCTAGACATCTCTTTTAATGGTTTTGGAGATTCTGGAGCTTCTGCAGTGGGTGAGGCCCTCAAGGCCAACAACGTGTTGGAGGAACTCAACATGAGGTGAGAAGTATAGGGGTATGACGCAGGGACCAGGGGCACTGTGATCTCACTGATATTCATTTTCGTTTCTGATCCTATGACAGTCTACTTAGGAAGGGGTTTGGCCACAATCCTAAGACATCCAGCTCCATCCTTCTCTCTCAAGATCATCACTAATACATTGTAACTCCTAATTCCTGCACTGCAGGCAGGTAGCTAGGGATCCCCAAATGTAAGTGTGAATGACCTTCAGAAGGCCTGGCACAGGATGGTGACCTGTGAGAACTTCCCTGCCTTTCAATGGATCCCCTTCTGGATGGAGCAAGGCCAGGCTCTTGACTGGTGGCCCCACGGGCATGATTTGTTCAGCACATGGCTGCTTGGGGTCGGCTCTGAATGAAGTTTTTCTCGAGGCCAGGCGGCATCTCAGCCCTCAACAGGTAATGAATGGGGTAGGGGCAAACCCACTGGGGAAAAAGAGGCAGATGTCAGTTAAGTTATAGGCTGTTGTGGCTGAGCCCCTCCCCAGGGGCTGCACCTTGCAGGCAAGAGGCCCCACTCAGTCCAGCACATCTTTCCTCCCCATGGGAAGAGCCAAGGCTGGAGGCAGCAACAGGAAATGCTGAAATTCATGGCACAGCCAGAGCCAACATGTGAGAAGTCAGAAGTGGGACTGGTTCCTGAGAAAAGGCGGCCCCGAGTTGAAGCCCAAAGTTGATTTAGTAGGAGGAGAAGAGAGGATGAGAACAGGGTGATGGGTGATTATCGATAGTTGTTGTCATGGTGATGGGTAGGTAGCATGGAGCAGAACACGTGGGGGCACCTGCTGAGCTCAAAGGGCCAGGGAGTGATGGCTGGTCTCCACCACAGGAGGGACACTCTGGCCTGTTGGCTGGGTGATCTCCCTGGAAACAGAGTCACCCGTGAGGCGGCATAATACCCATCTTTTTCACCCTGAGTTGCCTGAAAGACCTGGGCATGAAGGGAGGGTTGGAATGAGAAGCCAATCCTGGTGGATGCAACAGAATATCCAGAAGAGACACTGGGGCAATCAGTCCTGCACAGCTCTTTGGAAAGCTGCAAGAGGAATGAGTCTTTTTTGTCAGAGTTGCTATTGTGCGTTAATTGTACAAAGTAATGGTGTTCTGTGTGATATTTCCATACTCACACTGATCAGATCCAAACTTTCTTTTTCCACCTCCCCACTTCCAAACCCTTCCCAAACTCTAGTAGTCACTAACCTATTTTCAGGTTGATATTTTTTAGCTTCCATATATGAGAGAGAACATGTGACCCTTGTGTTTCTGTGTCTGGCTTATTTCACTTAACATAATGTTCTCTAGTTTCATCCATGCTGCTAATGACAAGATGCCATTCTTCTTTATGGCTGAATAATACTCCATGGTGTATAGGTACCACATTTTCTTTATCTGCTCACTTGCTGATGGACACCTAGACTAATCCTGTATCTTGACTATGACTCATAAGTTGTTTTTTTTTTTTTTTTCCAGCAACAACCGAATCTCTGCAATGGGAGCCCGGCACCTGGGGTTGGGCCTCCGGGTCAACCAGACACTAAGGATTCTTGTTGTGAGTGCTAACCTCAAGAGGGAAGCCTCAGCACAGACCTGCCCTGTGCCTGTCCACACAGATGCCTCCTCCACACATCACCAAACCCAGGGCCACTGGATGGGCGGCAGTGTACACAGACTCCAGAGCCCTGATGGGGTCTCTGGGAGGGGGGCCTCCTGGATTACTTTTGCAACTACTTCTTCCTTTTGCCATTCAGTCTCCCACCTCTGGCCTGGCCCATGCTGAGATTCACATTCCTCTTCTGTCCACCTATCCCTCCCAGCACTATGTCCTCAACAACATCTTGCTGACTTTTCTCCTCTTCCTTTTGGGGTGCTCCTCTGTGGAAAATTGCCAGAGAACCCCTCGCTTGGCATTCATCTCCCCTGCTCTTTCTCTTCTGTCCTGGAACCCAGGGTCAATGCAGGTGGATTTGTTTGCCACTGCTCAGACCTACCTGAGGCCTGTGTGTCTAAAGGGAGTTGCCTTTCTTCAGAGTTGCAGGTGAAAAGAGTCACTGAGCAGGGCTCAGAGTGGAAGATGGAGAAGGGAGGGAGCCAGGCAAATGTGGAGAAAAATCTCTGAGGTCTGCTGTACCAATAGCTTGTGCTAGGGGACAGTATCACCAGCTCTGGGGACAGGGTTGGCATCTGGCTCTGCTCCCCATCTTCAGCCTTCCCAGGTCTTCTCTCATTAGCTTTCCCACTCCTTGCCCCCTCAAAAACTGTGACCTCTTTCCCAAGCTTACATGCACCTCTCCAGCACTGACAGTCTCCTAATCACAATGAACTCTTGAGAGTTTGTCATGAATGCTTCACCTCCATCTAGGGGTTGCCTCTCAGTGGGAGAAACCAAGTCAGAAGATGGGGGCCAGAGCCTGACCCATGTCTCTTCCCCACACTTTCCCTCCAGTGTCACCTCCAGCAGAGTGCTCAGGCTGTTGGTTCTTCCTTTTCTCCCTTTCTCAGGTTCTGTTAAGCTGTTAGTTTTCCCAGTTCTGTCCTTCCTTCCCATCTGCTGCCTGATGATCTTTCTAAAATGACAATGCCCCTGTCACTTCCTGCTAAACCTTTCACTTCTGATGAATCCAAGCTTTATACCTCATCAATAATAGCACATCATGGGGATCTGGACTCTTCTAAACTCTGCTTCCAAGTTCATTGCTCTTCAGAATTTGCATGCACCCACTCATACACACACACACACGCACACACACACACACAGAGGATACTATTTACCACCTTTGCTTTTGCTCCTGTTGTTTTTGCTGAAATGCCCCTATCCATCCTCTACAACTGTAAAGCTTGGTTTTGGGGTTTTACTCTCCAATGACGACCTCCCAGGTGGTATTGGCATGCACCCTTGCATTGAACTTACCACACTGAATTTTACATTTCTTTTGCCTCACCTTCCCTGAGCAACTGAACTCTTATTTAAGAATACAGTGTGTTTTTTGTCTGCATCTTTGGCTCCCAGCATAGAGCTGAATAGGTGCCTTGTCAGCATCCATTCCATTCCTCTCTTGCCCAGCTCAATATCCTCACCCAGGGCAATATGTCACACAGAAACACCTGTTGAGTTGAGGCAGTGGGGCCTTCCTAACCACACTATGAGAAGAAGTGCCCTCATTCCCTTGTAGGTCGCTCTCAGCCTACCTGGACTCAGCTTCTCTTAGTTCTGTGTTGTCTTTCTTAGGTGTCCAGGAATCCCATGCAAACTGAAGGCTGCTCTCATCTCCTCAAGTCTGTCTGGGACAACCCAGCATCTGCACTAGAACTGCTAGATTTCTCTGTAAGAGCTTTTAAAGCCATTTTCTGATTCTCCCAACAACCCTGTTACATCTCCATTTGAGAGGAAAGAAATGGGGATTACAGAAACAAAGTGCTCTACTCAGATACACCAGTGGCAAGTGAGAGTTCCAACGCAGGTCTCAATGCAGGTCATGACACTACTGCAACTCTGCTCCCACTCTGGGCTGGCATCTGTAGCCTGGTCTGACCTTGGGCCCCGACTGTGTTCTTCCTTGGCTGAAAGAGCAGAGGTGGAATTTGGGGGCACCATGCTTAATATGCATGGATGTTTCGATCTGCAGGTTCAGCACTGGGCAAGGGTACCCTTCTTCCCTCCCCATCCCAGCCAGTACTGCCTGCAGGTGGACTGCACTGCTGGAAGATCCATTTGTGGATTTGTGTGACAGCAAGGGAATTAGAACCCACTTTTAATGCCATTTTAATTTTTTTCCTGTTTTCTTTCTTTTTTTTTCTAGTTGGATAGTTTGCCTTTATTTTATTTGTTTATTTTTAAGTGGTACCGAGGACAGAACCCAGTGCCTCACACGTTTTAGGCAAGCCCTCTGCCACCGCAGCCCAATTTTGCTTTTTTAGTATGGGAAAGAAATGTCACTCTTTTCTATTCTATGTCAATTCATCATTAAGGAGAGACTCCAGAATCACTTTGTGTATGTGTGTGTGTGGGTGTGCATGCACATGTGGTGTAGGGGATGGAACTCAGGACCTCACACATGCTAGGCAAACACTAAGCTATGTATCCAGCCTGACAGAATATGAAGTTTTAAAGTTTGGTTACCAATCAATGCTCTTTCTAACCTAGATTATTTAATCCACACTTGAGTCAGTCATACCAGAACTATTTTCACAGTTCTAGTCTTCCTAGATTGTCCTTAGAACTCCAAAGCCAGAAAATTAGCATGACTTAAAAATGTTTCTTCAGTTCTAAAAATCCTTTTCAACACTGTATCTAATCGTTCTAGAATAAGGGGGGTGGATAATATATACATTTGCCTGCCAAACTACACATTTATTCAATACAATATATGGTCATTAGCAAAGGCCTCTAATATAACAGAAATACCACTGGTTTTGCAATCAGTTCATGCCTGGGACCAAATCCTGAGTTCATCAATGTGGGATCTTGCACAAGGTTCTGAACCAAAGAATCATCACACAAGCCAGGCTCTAATGTTCTATTTCTAGTCTTTAACTGTTATCTTAGTCTAATCTGACTAACCCAGATTTTATCCTCAGCTCTGAGGGGAATGCTTATGACTTCTTGTAGTTGAAGTAAACTCCCTTCCAGAGCTCAGCCTTTTCTTTATGTGAAATGGGGCTAATACACGCCTTCCAGGGGCACTGTGTACATAGGATAGGAACTAGGTGTAGTGGTGTGCATCTGTAGCCCCAATTACTCAGGAGTCTGAGGCAGGAGGCTCTCTTGAGCCTAGGAGTTCAAGACCTGCCTTGGCATCACAGAAGGACTCCATCTGTGTTGAAGATAGTAAATTTAAAAATTTTAAAGTGAAAAAGATGGAATGAGATGATAGACCCTGTAGGTAGGACTTACACAGAGAAAGGCTCAATTAATGTGCTAGTTCTCTTCTCCTCAGGCCTCTTCCCATGCTAAAGAGTGCCTAAAGATTAAGATGGATCTCAAGCAGCATATACCCATGTAACTATCCCCTCACATGGAGAAATAGAGCATGCCCTTAAAAGCCCCCCCCCCTTGAATCCCTTCCCTTTTCTATTTTAATACTTTGGGAAGTGTGAGATCATCATCCATGGGAGAGAAACTGCCCAGAGGAACTTCTTGGAGACCTTGTGTACAAGTAATACAACCAAGTTCCCAGAAAGGAAGAATGCACTGTCTTATCATGGGTTTCTCCTTAGGATATGCAGGTGAACAGAGAGTTTGATGACCTTGCTAGCTCAGTGAAGGTGATTCTTCCAGGCCTTTGCATAAAGACTGGTGCTCCCAGAGTGAACTATAAGAAAGAGTTGCTGCCAGTCTTCAGACCACCCCCACCAGCATCTGCTCTTAAATGACTTTGGAAGATGGCTTCCTCATCTCCCAATAAGTCACTTCAGTTTCCACATGGTGGACTACTGGACTCTTGACACTTGTACCTTCCTCTGCTCCATGGACCCTGCTATAATCTAGGCCTTCCTTTGCCATAACTCATTCATGTAACACATTGGTGTGGACACAGGGTGAAAGATGTCCCTGTTCATCTTCCATATGTTCCTGTTTTAGTGACCTTGGAAGAAAAAATATGAGAAGGAGTACATATCGCACTCCCAAACTACTTGCAAAAATGCAACTTGTCACAGCCCTTTGGGAAGGCAATTGTTATTATGCACTGAGAGTCATCAAATTGTCCGTTTTGATCCAAATGTTTGTGTAATTGTTCTACAGAACTAATCAGAGATATACAAAAAAATTGTTGCCTGAAGATGTTCACTGAAATGCTGTTTATAATAATGAAATATGGAAGTAAGTTAAATGCCCACTAATTAAGATTTGGAACTCTGCAAATGTTAAAAGCCCCATGCTCAAAAACATTGAAGAATTCATGAAAATATACATGATGTAAGCGAGTACATCAAGGTAAAAAACTCCTATGGTTTTTGGCATTTCCTCAAAAGTTTAATCATAGAATTACCAACTGAACCAATAATTCCTCTCTATGTATATACTCAAGAGAATGGGAAATATATCAATGGAAAAACTTTTTCAGGTATTGTTCATTGTAGCATTATTCATAATATCCAGAAAGTTGGAATGCTTATCCATGGGTACATACAATATGGCATATCCATACAATGGAATGTTATTCAGCAACAAGAAAGAATTATGCAGAGAACTGTGGTCTCACCTGCAATCCTAGCTACTTGGGAGGCTGAGACAGGAGGACTGCAATTTGGAGGCCAGCCTAGACAAGTTACAAAATCCTATCTCAAAATCATTTTGTAATATAAATTTTTTAGTTGTTGGTAGGCCTTTATTTTACTTATTTATTTATATGCAGTGCTGAGAATTGAACCCAGTGCTTCACACATTAGGCAAGCGCTCTACCACAAAGCTACAACCCCAGTCCTCAAAATAATTTTTTTAAAAGTTAGGGATGCAGCTTAGTGGCAGAGCACTTGCCTAGAATGTGTGAGGCTTTGGGTTCAATCCTCAGCACCGCACACATCCATACATAAAAAGTGCTGTGTATGTAGTTCAGTGGTAAAGTGCTTACATAGCAAGTATGAGACTGTGTTCAATCCCTAGTGCTAAAAAAAGAGAAAAATGAAATTTATATGACAAAATTTTCTTAAATTGATTTTGGTGATGAGTGTACAATTCTATGAATATACTAAAAGCAATTGAATTGTATACAGTACTTTGAAAGACAGAATTTTATGGTATGTGAGTATTATCTCAACAAAGCTCCTTTCTAAAAAGGAGAAATTTGATACATGCTACAGGGATGAAACTTGAAAACATGTTCAATGAAAAAAGTAAGTCACATATATTGTCAAGAATATATATGTGATTTTGTTTATTTTTATATTGAGGATTGAATCAGAAGTATTTTTCCACTGAGCTATATCCCCAATCCTTGTATTTTTGATTTGGAGACAGAGTCTCCCTAAGTTATTGAGAGTCTCACTAAGTTGCTGAGGTTGGCTTTGAACTTGTGATCCTCTTGCATCAGCCTCCTGGGTCACTGAGATTACCCGCATGCACTAGTACCCTGGATTGTATAATTCTGTTTGTATAAAATGTCCAAAATAAGCAAATCTTCAGAGAAACAGAGTATAGGTTGTTTAGGACTAGGGAGATGGGGGAATTAGGGGTTGGAAATTACTGGATTTGTGTTTCTTTTGAGGATAATAAAAACATTCTAAATCTGACTATGATAATGTTATGCAACTCAACGATGTTGTAGAATCAAGCCCAGTCCAGTGGTGGGTACTTGTAATTCTGGGAAGGCTGAAACAAGAGGATCACTTGAGCCCAGAAGTTTGAGACCAGTCTGGTCAACATAGTCAGACCTCATCTAAAAAACAAACAATAACGTGGACTGGGGTTGTGGTAGAGCTCAGTGGCAGAGCACTTGCCTAGCATGTGTGAGGCACTGGGCTCCATCCTTAGGACCACAAAATGAATAAATAATAAATAACAAACAAAATAAAGGCATTCTGTCCATCTACAACTACAAAAAAAAAAATTAAAAAATAAATAAATAAAGATATCATGTCTATCTACAACTAACAAAATTTTTTTTTTAAAAAGAACAAAACATAGAGCTGTACACTTCAAATGAGTGAATTGTACGGTATATCAATTATATCTCAAGAAAACACTTAGAAAAATATTGTTTGATCCCAATTTTATTAAAAAATGTATGAATGTATATATTCAGGAAAAAAGACAAAACAGACCCACAGAAATATTAATAATGTGTATCTCTAGATTGTAGGTTTATGGATTATTTTTATTTATAGTTTTTGGCCATTTACACACTATGTACTCTGAATGTGTTAATTTTATAATAAAAAAATATTTAAAAACACAAAGTAATACAGACTATAATTAAGTTCTGTGCATGATATTGTTGGATCTCTGAGTAAAGTGGGTGCTGAAGAGTGGATTGAATTGTGTCCCCCTAAAATTATATGAAGACCTATTCCCCTATGTGACTATATATAAAGACAGATATTTTTTAAAAATATAGTTTTTTTTAGTTGTAGTTGGACACAATACCTTTATTTGTTTTTATGTGGTGCTGAGGATCAAACCCAAGGTCTCACATGGGCTAGGCGAGCGCTCAATTGCTGAGCCACAACCCTAGCCCCTGGAGACAGGTCTTATGAGGAAAGAATTATGGTTAAAAAAGGTTTCAAGGGTGAGGACATGATATAATCAAGTTAGTGTCAAGAGACCATAGAGTTTGTATGCTTCTCTTGTAGATATAATGATAATGTGGCTGTTTGCCATAATATAAGGACATGATAAGAAGGTAGCTGTACAATACAATGTGAGGACACAGAGGGTGGCTGTCTAAAAGACAGGAAGAGAGACTCTGGACCTTCTAGTCTCTATAAATGTGAAAAAAATAAATTTATTTTGTTTCAGTCACCTAGTCTATTATAGCTGAGAGATGACTAATACATAAATATGTGCTCTCCTGGGCAAAAGAGGCAAAGGGAGGGCAATGGTCTTCTGGTTTCCCTGACTCAGAAGACCTCACTCTGTGACCCTCTTTGTACCAAAATGATCTTTCTAAACACACAACTGATCCCACAGTTCAGAGGCTCCCCATGTACTCACAGAAGTCTGAACTCCTTAGTTTGGTGTGTCCCATTGCACAGGATGGTACCAGAATCTCCTCTAAAGAGGGAAAGTTAAAGTCTGGTTCCATTATTTTCTCAGGAGATGCCAGAGCAGTAGTTTCCATTCTGGTAATAAGCTGGAAGTACACCCGGATTCCTCATTCCATACTTTTCTCCAAAGTTCACACATACTGGGTTCTAAAGGAAGTTGAGATAATCTTTAAGGGAAGAATATGATGATGGTTCCAAAGCTCTCCAAAATGAGGAATGGGTCCTAACCCAGCTCTTCCGGGTTCAGAGTGTACCCACCCCCATCCCCAGAAACCCATTTCTCAGGAAAGAAGTATTCAGCTGGGGGTGGTGGCGCAAGCCTGTAATTCTACTCGCAGCTACTCCAGAGATAAGGCAAGAGAATCTCAAGGCCAGACTCATTTGTGTCAAATTTTTAAAAAATTCAATAATAATAATAATAGTAGGAGGAGGAAGCCAGGTGCCAGCCACGCCCAGACCAGAGGAGGAAGCCCGGCGCCACGCCCAGACCGGAGGAGGAGGAAGCCCGGCCCTGCCCTGCCTGCTAGTCCGGAGGAAGCCCATCAACCCTTAAAACCCATCAAAGGGGTTGTGGCTACCAGCACTGTTCTGCAGCTGATCCAGGTACCCGGTTTCCAACTCCCCCACTCTTAGCTGCGATAACTCAAAATATTTCCCACAAGCTTTTGGGGGTTGTAGCTATCAACGCAAAACAACAACTGTACAGGCACCTGGTTTCTACCTCAGAGACTAGAGTAGGGAAGATACAGGTGGAAGCTCATGTCCTTTCACACTGGCTATACCCACCACCCTGAAAACAGGAATAGACAACTAGGAATAGACAACGCCACCTACTGGAAGCAAGGAAAACAGAGTTCTGAGAGAATTTTTTTTCTCTCTCTCTTTTCTTCTCTCTCTTCCACAACTTCAACATATGTGAAACCAAGAACTGTGCATGAACAACCAAATTACCAAAGTAATATAATATAGAAGAATTGCATATACACCACCTTCCCCCCATTTTTTTTCTTTATTTCTATCTTACTTTCCTTTTCCTTCTCTCTTATTTCTCTTTTCTTCCTTGTTATTTTTTTTCTTTTCTTCATTCATATTCCCTCTATCCCACTTTCAATCTCCTAACTTTTGCTATCTATACATAGGGTAACTATCTAAATACAGATAGGAGGTTGAGTCTATACATTCTTCCATAAATTACCAGTCTATTGGTTAGAGTTCTCCAAAGGTGCTAAGTTAGTTTAACCTCATACCCTCACTCCTTTCCCTCTAAGTATAACATCCTTCATCTGAAATTAAGTTTTCTATATGCCACCAGATATGGTATGCCTTTTATGAAACTAATGACTATATTCTTAAATAATAATTAAAACCAATATCTATAGACTTAGAATCCAACTATTAATGTATTAATAATGAAAACTTGTGCTTAGATGATGTACTGTTGATATTGGGAACTATTAACATTGTCTTTCGCTGCAAAAGAGGGATTTTGGAGCTATACAAGAACAATACAAATATATAAGGGGAAAACCATTAACACAACAGTTTCACAAAGCTAGAAAGAATCATGAGCAGTAAGAAAAGACAAGGAAAGAAAGGACCACAAACAATAAAGGTCAATTCAACATTAGATGAGGTAATATCTGCAGCTGATGGAATATCAGACAAAGAGTTCAGGATATACATGCTTCAGATGATCTGGAGTCTCAAGGAAGACATCATACAGCAAATTCAGACAATGAAAGATCACTTTGACAATGAATTACATAAACAAATCCAAGAAGCAAAAGATCAACTCTATAGGGAGATAGAGGATATAAAAAACAAACAGAAATCCTGGAAATGCAGGAAACAATAAACCAAATTAAAAACTCAAATGAGAGTATTACCAGCAGAGTAGAACACTTAGAAGATAGAACTTCAGACAACGAAGACAAAGTTTTTCAACTTGAAAAGAACATAGACAGCTCAGCGAGAATGTTAAGAAATCATGAGCAGAACATCCAAGAATTATGGGATAACATAAAGAAACCAAACTTAAGAGTTATTGGGATACAAGAGGGTATAGAGGTGCAAACCAAGGGAATGAGCAATCTACTCAATGAAATAATACTAGAAAACTTCCCAGACTTAAAGAATGAAAAAGAAATCCAAATACTAGAAGCCTACAGGACACCGAATGTACAAAATCATAAGAGATCCACACCAAGACACATAATAATGAAGATGCCCAACATACAGAATAAGGAGAGAATCTTAAAAGCCACAAGAGAGAGGAAGCAGATTACATTTAGGGGTAAACCAATCAGGATAACTGCTGATCTTTCAACACAGACTCTGAAAGCTACAAGATCCTGGAACAACATATTTCAAACGCTGAAAGAAAAAGGGTTCCAACCAAGAATCATGTATCCAGCGAAATTAAGCTTCAGGATTGAAGATGAAATAAAAATCTTCCACGATAAACAAAAGTTAAAAGAATTTGCAGCTAGAAAACCAGCTCTTCAAAACATCCTCGGCAAAACATTACAGGAAGAGGAAATGAAAAATAACAATGAAAGCCAACAGCGGGAGGTAGTACAGTAAAGGAAAAACTAATCATAGAGAAAAAACAAATCATGTTAAGTAACATATATAATCAAATATGGCTGGAAATACAAACCATATCTCAATAGTAACCCTAAATGTTAATGGCTTAAATGCACCAATCAAAAGACATAGGCTAGTAGAATGGATTTTAAAAAAAGATCCAACAATATGCTGCCTACAGGAGACTCATCTGATAGGAAAAGACATACACAGACTAAAGGTGAAAGGTTGGGAAAAATCATACCACTCATAAGAACCCCGGAAGCAAGCAGGGGTGTCCATACTTGTATCAAACAAAATAGACTTCAAGCCAAAGTTAATCAAAAGGGATAAACAAGGACACTACATACTGCTCAAGGGAACCATACACCAACAAGACTTGACGATCATTAATATATATGCCCCAAACAATGGTGCAACTACGTTCATCAAACAAATTCTTCTCGACTTCAAGAGTCAAATAGACCACAACACAATAATCATGGGAAATTTTAACACACCTCTCTCACCACTGGACAGATCTTCCAAACAAAAGTTGAATAAAGAAACCATAGAGCTCAATAATACAATTAATAACTTAGACTTAATTGACATATACAGAATATACCACCCAACATCAAGCGGATACTCTTTCTTCTCAGCAGCACATGGATCCTTCTCAAAAATAGACCATATATTATGTCACAGGGCAAATCTTAGCAATTACAAAGGAGTAGAGATACTACCATGCATTTTATCTGATCATAATGGAATGAAATTGGAAATCAATAATAAAATGAGAAAGAAAAAATTCTACATCACATGGAGATTAAACAATATGCTACTGAATGAACAAAGGGTTACAGAAGACATCAAAGAGGAAATTAAAAAATTCTTAGAGGTAAATGAAAACTCAGACACAACATATCGAAATCTCTGGGACACTATGAAAGCAGTACTAAGAGGAAAATCCATTTCATGGAGTTCATTCCTTAAAAGAAGGAAAAGCCAACAAATAAATGACCTCACACTACACCTCGAAGCCTTAGAAAAAGAAGAACAAATCAGCAGCAAATACAGTAGAAGGCAAGAAATAATTAAAATCAGATCTGAAATCAATGAAATCAAAACAAAAGAAACAATCAAAAAAATTGACAAAACTAAAAGTTGGTTCTTTGAAAAAATAAATAAGATTGATAGACCACTAGCCACGCTAACAAAGATAAGAAGAGAGAGAACCCAAGTTACTAGCTTACGGGATGAAAAAGGCAACATCAAAACAGACAATTCAGAAATACA